CGTGTGGGCCTCAGCCTATGTACTGAGGCCACAGTTAACTCTACGAGTCATGTACTGAGATCCTGTTAACTCTTCGGGTACTCCGTACCCACGTGTGCGCCACACCCGTGTAACCCCGTTACAGACGTGGATTAAAAGGTACACTCGCGAATGTTGGAATGTTTACGGCGAGCTGGAGGAAGTGGTGAACCGGACCAACAATCCCTTGGAAAGGTGCAGCAGGACCCTCAATGAAGCCATGGGTGGTCAACATCCTGGTATGGGAAAGTTCGTCGTGGTTCTAGAGCAAGAAAGTCAGCGGTACGTCAACGCACTGCCGGATATCGCCAACCGCAGACAAAGTGATCCAAGGCGTGACAGGGCCCGTACTTCCCTAAACCAAGAGCAGGTTTCGAGCTTGGACGAAAGCGAAGCGGCGCCTCTGGCTTCTGTGCAATCATATGTCGCCCACGTACTAACGCTCTGTAGAGCAGTAAGTTCAGACTGACGATTTTTTTTTGCATTTACAAGTAGGAATTTCACTATAGATAATAGGAAATATAAATTTCATCAAATACACTAATATTAACCATAAATGTTGTAGTTGTGAGCATTGATACTAACTTACTTTGAGTATTGAAATGTTTGTCAGCATTAGACTAGATATTCAGCAGAAAATGGATAGCTTTCAGACACGAATCCGAAATTTTCCGCAATAGAAAGGATAATTTCAGCACCTAAATGGTGCATAATTTTGCAAAATAAACTTATGAATATTTATAAAAATACGATTTGTTTTATAAATTATTTTGGTAGAACTTGAAATTGCGTTAACAAGACAAAAAAAAAAAGAATTCGATATTAATGTTATAGAAACCAAAATTTGAATTAGTAGAAATCGTCCAAATCGTCCAAATCGTCGACTTCGTGCCCGTCCACGTAATATTGAACGTTGACTGTGACGGGGCCGATGACGGTGGTGGGACGACATTTGATGAGTCAACGACAGCCGTCGATCGACACGCCGATCG